AAAGAAGATATTGGGTGACTGCAGACAATGAAGAGTGAGGCACCTATCAATAATTATTTGCGATTTATGAGACGCAAGAAAACGATTTTCGTAGAATTCTAAAAAAACCTTTCTTCCACTTTTTTCATTGTAGAACTTTCGGTCATATAAGAATCAATGTGAGAGAACTGAGATTTTCTAAATCTTTCTCATACATTTATATGAACTTTCCAGAAAGGCAGAATGAAGTGGACTCATATGGTAGAAAAAGGTCTACTTTCTTCATTTCCGGATATGCCAAACTGCTGCTAAAGTTCAAGACTTATTGTTAGAAGTTCAAAAAAAAAAGATCACGGTTCATGCATGTTTAAGATGAGTTTATACAAAAGAGGTTTGAAAAACAATTGGCTTTGACAGCTTGCAGGTTTGAAACCTTGCTCGGGACCCAAGCTTACCTCAGCAACATGGATAGGGGTGCTATGTGCATTGTCGATACGCAAACCATGGAAAACTCGAGCGCACTCTTGCCTGTAAGCTTTCTTTTTTCTCATGCTTCTAACTCATAGAAAGACAAACTCACGAATATTCTTTCATATAATTCCACAGGAATGGACAATCATCAGGTTTATCTCCATAGTTCAGTTTTACAGAATCACCCCAACAAACCAACTCCCGTCGAAGGTAGACCTAAAAAACATTCGCTGAGAGATGCAAGGCCTTAAATGTGTAAAACTGACCTGGGAATCAGGAAGAGCGAAGTTCTTAAGTGGATCATAAGCCATAACCCATCCGTTAAAAGCCATAAGATATTTCGATTTCTCTGGATCGTAGGCCAAATGTTCTTCTTGCTCCCACGATGTCACATCTTCCAGATGCAAGAAGTAGCTGAAGGAAGACTAGTAGATGATATCCAATTTCACAAATTAGTATTAAATTTGACCAACATTTGCTTTGTAAGAGATTAGAATAATAAAGAAACACTTCAAGCAAAAGTTAACAGCAAGATCCTCAAAATGTATGAAAAAGAACTTTTTAAATAACGATTAGAAATTTATTATGACTCGTTCAACATCAAAAACTTTTCCTTTTGTAGAGGAAAGAAATTTGTTATGACTCGTTCAACATCAAAAATTCCTTTCGATCAAATTTGAGATCTGTACATACTCTGTAGTAAGCGGATGTTTTTCCGTCACAGCTCCGTATTTTGGACCATCGTCAGCAAGTCTCTGGTATGTGATATGGCCCATAACTGCACGCAGGCCAGCCATGACAATCTCCCAGGCATATTTACCAGCTAAAAATCTTTCGAAATATATTAGAAAATGTGGAGATGAGAGAATACCATACCTTCTTCGTTTAGATAGTGTAAATGATAGCGAAATGCTGCAATGCATTTTTCGACTCGTTCCTCTTCTGAAGAGGCGTCATCCCTGAACAAAAAGTCTATACAAAACCTGCAAATCTGGAAATTTAAGTTCGACTACCTATGTCTATTAAAAATTTTCGAAGCTTTATCGAAGT